CTGGCACACTACCATAACCGGGTTGCCCTTGGTGCGGCCGAGATGGCTCATCATGGTGTTGATCACCTCCGACTCATTCTTGTCGTTGGCCTTAGTCGAAGTGCCGTGGAATGAGGCCACCGCGATATCATCGACGGTGAGACCCCATACAGCCAGCGCTGCGCGAATGGGTGAGATACCGGGCTCTTGCTGTCGTAGATCTAGCCCGTAGAGATTCTGGGCCTGACGAATCTGTGATGCTGCAGCCCTGTCGATGACCTGGGCCAGGTGTGGCGAGAGCTGACCATCCTGTCGGGCCTGCTGAAGCTGGCGAGCCGCCCCCTGCTGGATCTGCGTTCGTAGCTCTTCAAACTGCTTCTGGCGGAATGTGGCATCCAGAAGAGGTGACAGCGATGCGGTAGTCGATTCACGGGCAGCGGTCAGGATGCCCTTACCTGGTGCAGGCACAGAGCGACCGATCTTGTCGCCCGCCATTTGTGAGTATGCGACGATGCCGTAGATGGGCACTCCCATGTCGAGCGCCAATTGAGCCGTCATGAGCACCTGTACACCGCATCCTGCAGACTCGACAAATCCCGCGCGAGAACTAGCCGTCGGGCGAGAGATTTCTCGTGGAGTGCGACCGCGGGCCAGCTCCTCCACTGTGTTGGCTGTCGCCTTCATATTGGCGAACTCGTACGACATCTCCTCCTGCAGGTCATCTGTGCCACCCACCAGAGCCACCTTGACCTTGCCGGCCTGAATGCCCTCGCAGGCCGTGTCCAGCGATTCGATGGCTGTGGCACATGTTCCAGACGGCGACTTGATGGGACCCGCCGCACCCATGAGCAGCATGTTCGCCCAGGCATCCATGGCATTGGGGAACGACTCTTGCAGGATATCATTCTGTACGTCGCGGTCGAGATACCGATCGCGGTACACACCACGCATGGCGATCAACCCGCCTGCGCCCGTGCCAATGCAATTGGCCAGCTCCGAGACGTGTATGTGTCTGTATAGCTCGTAGGGGTCCTGGATGCCGGCGCTCAACATGGCCTGACACACACAGCACAAGACATACAACGTGATCGGATCTACCTGCGAGACAATGTCCGCTGGGATACCATACGCCTTTGGATCCCATCCCGTAGGCAGCTGGCCCGACACTAGTCGGTCGAACGGCTGCGCCTTTGGCACCAAGAATCGAGCTCCGGGCTTAAATTGCACATTGTACTCCTCCCCATCTTCTCCAGCCGGAGAGATTGAGACCTTGTCACCGTGCTTTGTCTTGAACGCGGTAGCGACAGCACGAGTCGCCTGGAAGATAGGTAGATCCTCCTGCACCACCACCTCCTGCAGGAACTCCTTCTTGGCAGGATCGTATCCATCGTAGAGTTCTGGCTCGATGAAGCGTAAACCGGCGTGTTCGTGGATATATTCGCCATACTTCTCTGCGAAGTCGGCCTCGTGCACAGGCTGGTTGGATTTGGCGTCGACCCAGCCCACGTAGGGAGATCCCTGCTGGTCGCCCTCGAAGTGCTTGACCAAACCCATGATCCAGGCCATCTCGACGTACCCCTCGGGGCTGAGATCCCCGGCTCGCTCCATGTCCCATCGTGTGCGGGCACTACCCCAAGGTCCTAGCTCGGAGTAGCCAACCACGACAATAGTTTTGTTCAGGTCGATCATGTCACGCCCGGGCAGCTGGATACCTGCCGTCATGGCCTCGTAATCCGGCAGATCTGGATGGCCGACCGTCAGATTGGCACGCGGCTTGCGTGTAGTCAGAGCAGTGATCGGCTCTTGCTGTTCCTCTGGACCCTTCAACAGCTTTTCGTGTAGCTCATCCTCGGCTGCAATGGCCTTGCGTGCGCGAGCCTGGTGTTGCACCTGCTTACGGGCGGCAGTCGACAAACCCTTCAGGTCAGCCAGCTGCTCCATCTTGCCACCCAGGTCCGCGTACACGGGCGTGTCTTCACAGGCCTCTGCAATGGCAGGAGTCATCAGCGCCATTATGTTCAATGCCATCTCCGCCGAAGAGAAGGTGATTACGTCTTCAGCCTCGATGGCCTCGGCCACGATGTTGTTGGCGCTCATCAGCCCTGTGCCACGGGTCCAGCCGATAACGGCGCCGCACACGGTCAGGTAGTCACCCCAGCTTTCGGACTTGAAGCGGTTGAAGAGAGTCTCTAGGCCAATTTTTGACTCCGAGTAGAGCCCGTCCCCGCCGAAGGTACCGTGGTTGGGTGAGAGCGGCAGAATGACCTGCGTAGGGTTGGCCCCGTATCCACGGGCCTCCTTTTGTTGTTTGATACAACCCAACAGGCGCAGAAGGTTGACCAGCATGGCGCGGTGAGCCACCTCGGACAGACCGTCGAGTCCGTCAATCTGTCGGCCGTTCTCGGATATGGCGGCGAACGGGATCACGCAGTCAATGTCACCTGCAGTACCCAGAGTGTTGTTGTACAGATGAGAAATGAGGGCCTGGCAGTCCTGGCGACTGGCTTGATTGAAGGGGAAGACTGTCAAGGACGAACCCCGACCACAGAAGTCGCGGTACAGGCTGCGATAAAAGTCCATGTTGGAGCGACTGGTGGTAACAATGACATTGGCACCAGCTGTGAGCAGGCCACGCGTGATCTCAGCACCTATGGATTGGGGTCCGGCACCGGTGATCAGCACCGTCTTACCGGAGAAGCTGATACCGATGGATGTGGCCGCTTGGACAGAATCGAAGTAGCTGGATGTGAGGCCATCATCGTAGTTCCAGGCACTGCCTTTAGGACGACAGAGCCGAACAAAAGGTAGGCTGTCGGCAACGGGGGCGTCGAAGCGACTTCCGCGCTTGAGTAGCTCGACGTAGGTATCTGGGCGTCCGCCAATGGTGCGAGGGATCTCTTCGTACTCGATAACTCCCTTAGGGCTGACAGTGGTACGAGGACCCAGAGGTGGCAGCCGGTGGATGAAGACGGAGTCTCCTTGGAGTGCGTCACGGTAACCCTGGAACAGCTGCTCCAAGGGCTGGATCTGCAGCTGCTTGTCACTGTGGCGTAATGGGTGGGCAATGTGATACTTGACTAGGTCGAAGGCGCTGGGATTCGAGCGATTCAACACCTGCCAGATCTTCTCCTCGTTCGAAGTGCTACCGGGTCCCAGCAGCAGCGAGGCAATATCGACGCGAGCCCAGTTCCACCAGGCATCATAGCTGCGACCGCGTTTCGCGTCGAAGATGGGCGAGATGCGAGTCAAGAAGCCATCGCCAAACTCAGCCTGCCAAGCCTCCAGCTTCTGGTCGGCTTCCTGCCAGAGCTCTTCGCTGTGCGCTAGCTTCTGGACCAGCTCGCCGCCGTCGCTGTCCAAGATCTTCCCGAGTGCCAGGTGAAGCTGCTTGAAAGCGTCGTTCTGCTCCGTGCGCAGCCGCTCCAGCTCCTTGGAGTCAATCATAGCTCCGCCAGCGGAAGCACCTCCGCCCGCGGACGCAGCAGCTGGGCTGATAGTAATGCCACTGTGGCGTCCGTATCGGGACACAACACTGTCGACGAATTCTTTGGCTGCCTGAGGGCTCTCCAGCCGAGACGAGGGGTCTAGACTTACTGAATAGCAGAGAACAGCTGTTTGACGTTGTGCCCCTAAGCCCCAGTGTGTCTCGAGGTGGCTGCGAATGCTATTCTGATTCCATCCAGCCGGAAACCTGGCCGAGATCAAGCGGGCGACAAGTGCCGACATGACTTTGCCGGGGCGCCCGGTGAAGCTGCCTTCGAGGGCTGCCCCAACAGCTTCAAGGGGAAGGTCTTCGCAGCCGTCGGGTGTGCCACCGAACTCGGCCACCAGGTCACCAATAAGTTCATTCTGTAGTGTAGATTTACCTGGACAGCGTTAGAAGGGAACTGTTGAGAAGATTAAAAGGACAGTCTTACCTCCAGACAGGTCACGAATGCATTTCTGGAGAGGCACCTGGTCAAATGGCTGCTTCAGCTTCTGGGCACTCAGAGCCAGCACGATATCCAGCGCAGATAGTGGCACATCATCGACAGCGGCTGCCGCTACAACTGGAGCAGCGGGAGCTGCAGCAGGAGCAACCGGGGCTTCAGGGGCCACAGCAACCGGTGCTGGGGTGACTGGGGCAGCTTGAGTCTCTGTCGTGGCCACTGGTTGCGACTCTTCGTATTCATAGCATATCTGCCCATAATCATCGCTGTGGGAAAGGAATTGACGGCGAATCAGGTGCAGCTGGTCCTGCAGCTGGTGATTGCGGGCAACCGTCTTCTTGCCCATGGTGGACAACACCTTGGCCGGGCCGACCTCTACGTATCGCTCCACGGCCTCATCTCGCGTGAAGAACTCTTTCTGTGTATCAATCCTGCTCGGGTCAGTGGCAAATTTGCGAATCGGGAATAGGAACAAAACTCACCATTGAACCGGAAAGGCAAATTGGTAGCTAGTCAGGTTCGTTAACCTACAACTCTCATGGAATTTTGACCCGTAGTGGCACTTACGCCAGCAGTTCAATGAGCAGTGTCCGTGCCAGAGCACGTCGCTCCTGCTCTGAATCTGGAAGTGATTGAATCGGTTCGCCCATATTGTGTTGGGTGTTATGTGGTGATCAGGAGACGACGATGGACATCGCGGAGGGGGATTTGAGGGGTGTGGTACGACAATGCTGTTCATATAGAGGTCTCTTCCTCAAAGCGGACAGCATTAATCCGATATAACTATCTTCGACCGCTGGCCGAGCAGTGTCGCGTTCACAGATGTCCGAGGACCCCGGGCATTTCGGCGCAACAGTATGGCTGAAGGGGGGGTGGCCCGGCGGCCGATCCCCGACGGCAGGATTCGAGGGATTCACAGCCCCCAAGTGTAGCAGAAGGGATTACACAAATAAAACCGCATCAGAAATTTGTACGTCTGGCCTGTCAGCGATGTAGCTTATATACAAAGGTAATTCCATCAAGCTGGCACAGTAGTCTTGATTTACGATCGTCTATCTTTTAATCCCATATCAGAGTAGTATCAACGTCAATATGCCCGACATCGCACCCAACGTCGCTCGCAACGGCAGCTCCAAACATGCAGAGACCAAGCCAGAAACCCCAGTTCTCCATGTGGTAGACAGCCGCACGGGGAACTACTTCCCCATCCCTATCGTGCGCAACGCCATCAACGCAAGTGAATTCAAGAAACTCAAGTCTCCGGAGGATCCCGCACATCCTGAAGATCAGAACGAGCAGGGCATCCGGGTGTTTGACCCCGGTTACTCCAACACGGCTGTCAGTGAGAGTCAGGTTACCTACATGTGCGTTACCTCTCGAGAGATTGTTCATGGTGAATAGCAACTGATAACGGGGTGTAGCGATGGCTTGAAGGGAACTATTCAGTACCGAGGCTACAATATCGAGGATATTGTAGGGAAGAAGAAGTTTATCGACACGGCGCACCTGCTCATTTGGGGCGAATGGCCGACGCCAGAACAGGCCAAGTCGCTTCAGGAGAAGCTTTCCAGCGTGCCTATTCTGGATGAGTCCGTCTTTAAGGTGATTCAGGCATTCCCGTAAGCTTCACACTAGTCATATGCTCTAATTGTCCCACCAGAGTCTAACAGCTTTAGTCCCAACTCGTCCATCATCGGCATGATGATCGCCGCGCTCTCCGCCGTCCAGAGCTCCCAGATGGACCGCATCCCCGCTCACGCGGCCAAGAACCTCTACTTGGGTAACCCCCAGGCCGTCGACGATGAGATCGTCCGTCTGATGGGCTCACTGTCCATGATCACCGCAGCTGTCTACTGCCATCACACCGGACGGGAATTCACCCCGCCACGCCCGGAACTCTCCTACATCGAGAACTTCCTCCTGATGATGGGCCACGTTGAGTCCACCACTGGACTGCCCAACCCGCAATACGTCGACCGCATTGAGCGTCTCTGGGTCCTCATCGCCGATCACGAGATGACCTGCTCGACTGCCGCGTTCTTGCAGACGGCTTCCTCTCTGCCGGATGTATTTTCCTGTATGATCTCCGCACTTTCGGCCCTCTATGGTCCGCTGCATGGTGGAGCCATTGAAGTGGCTTACAAGAACTTTGAGGAGATTGGCTCGGCTGAGAACGTTGCGGCCAAGATAGAGCGTGTCAAGGCCGGAAAGGAACGCCTGTATGGTTACGGTCACCGCATCTACCGCGTGACAGATCCGCGCTTCATCTTCATCCGCCAGATTCTGGACGAACTGAAGGAGGAGATCGCCCGTAACCCGCTGCTGAAGGTGGCGTTCGAGGTGGACCGTGTCGCCTCGGAGGATGAATATTTTGTCACCCGAAAGCTGCGGCCCAACGCCGATCTCTTTGCGGCGCTGGTGTACAGTGCTATGTAGGTAGACTCCGTGAAGGACTTGTTTCAGACAGAAGACCCGCTAACACAATGGGTTTAGGGGCTTCCCGACTGAGTTTATTCTGCCGTTGTCACTGTTGTCCCGCACGCAGGGATTCATGGCCCACTGGAAGGAAGCCATGTGTAAGTGATCCATTTTGCCACCGAGCATCCCAGTCTGAGGCTAATGATGTGCCAGCGAGCACGGCACGTATCTGGAGACCCGGCCAGATCTACACTGGACACTTGAACCGTGAAATGGCGTAGATTTAGAACAGTTCCTCTATCACCAATGAGGCAATCTTAGCGTAAAACGGTCAACAGCGTCACTGAAGCTAGCGCTAGAACGCATGCAAGCCTCCAGGCCAACTAGGCCAAGCATCGGACTGTTTCCGACAGTCGCTGATGAAGACATGAAATGACTGAGACATGATTTCCCTCGAGATCACTTGGAATGTGGGTAGGATGGCGTCTGTGAGATACGGTCACCAGGTAGCCAATACAATGGCCCAATAAGGCCCAATAAAATAGTTGCGAATGTCAGAAAGTTTCCCACTATCCAACAAGGGTAAGCTCAGCTCGTGATGCGGTAGATTGTGGCATAAAGAGTGAGACAAATAGTTATGTTTGCTTCATTCGACAATTAAATCCGGCGATTACTTCATGCTAGATGGCTCGCTGCTACCAAGCAAGGGACCCATGTCGACGATAATCAATCTCAGCCTCAAGCGCAACGGCGGATGTGCCAGGGAATTGCTGCTGCTTTTCCCTCAAGCGGGTAGCATGGGGGTGTTTTGATAGCGGCATGCTCCGTGATAGATAGCATCCCTGCCCCTATAGGAGCACGGGGATATGCATAGGCTGTAAGTCACTCGTCGGCGGGGTTTTTGGTCATCCTATTAGGACAATCTGGAAGCAGTACCTCGTATTACCTTGCATGCATATTATCACACTATCCACATCTGGAATTGAAGCTCCGAGCCTGGAAATCACTCCCTCATCCGGCTGGAGGGCGCACTAGTCTCACTCTAAAGCGACCGTTTGTGATGCGTGGCACGTCACCGGCTGACTCCATTTGAGAAAGTCGCGCTGCGTATATCGGTCCTAGCCGAGATCATCGAGATTTAACTTCGGTCCGTTGCTTTACCGTTCTTCACAGCTAGATGGCCTTGCGGATCGACACAGGAGGTGGTAGTCGCGCGTCAGAGTTACTTAGACGCCCTTGTTTCACCCGGGATGGTGCTTGACAGCCCGCGGTTCATGATCGGCAGTGTTTTACAACACTACCTTATTTAACTTTCTTTGCAGTCAACGGAGACTTATCGGTGATCGGCATCGGGCGTGCTGGTCGGTGGGCCACTGGTGTTTTCGTGAGCTCTCTGGCTTCTCTTGTCTGCCAGGTATGACTGCTCCAAGGTGATTGATTGCGCAGCAAGATTGCAGAGCTTCTGCGTGATACCGAGTACCGAGAGAGTCATCTTATTTCCGAGGGCAGCGAACTCCGTCTCCGAACTGGTATCAGGAGCGATGCTGCGAGTGAGCTATCGGGGTCGCTTTTCTGCTAGCGAGCGGGAGAGACGCGATGCGGGTTATTCAGCAAACTACACTAGTGAATTAGTGTCTATTAGTTTGACCAGCCTAGTGAGTCGCTTCTGCTGACGATTGCAGGGCTCACCCTATAGGATGAGAAGGAGGGAGGGGATGGGACTGGCAGGATTGCCAGGCTTACCAGCCGTGCTGCCAGTTCCCTCCATCACCCACCAATGCTTAGCACGACACCACCCACCTGATGGTGGACTGAGTGCTGGAAATGATATCAAGCTGACTAAAGTACTATGGATAGATTGTGCAGGAATGTCACATTGGGTTTTTGAAGGACTTCCTCTTCCTGCTGGATGTAGATGACAAATGCAGCGTAATCTCCGACATGAGAATAGCATGGCGCGTGGTTGGATCAGGATACGAGGCCTAAGCCCCCGCGGACGCCCTAACCAAAATTTCGGCTTCATGACGGTCCTTCCTTCCCCCAGCCGTCCGAAACCAGACCCACCCGGTGATGGCTTGCTGTCGATCTGCTCAAGAGCCTGTGCAAATTGCAGAAATGACCTTCCGCGGTCTGGTCTACGCCCGGAGGAGAGGATGAAGAGAGGAAGGGAGGATTTCCTTGGCGAGCATGCAGTCAGCGTGAAATTATCTCAATCACATGTCCTCTCCGATTTTCGCACCCGGGATATCAAACAAACCGAACTTGAAATGCGACTGGATTATATCTAAGCAGTCTGGAAAGGTATTCTGAATACCACGCTGAATAAGCGGATATAAGGAATTGTAAGTCAGTGCCGCAGTGTGGACCTACGAGGCATTAGTAGCAGGAATGGATTGAGCTCTGAAACATCGTATTTGCAACATTAAACATGATCGTCTCAATATATCTTCCAATTTGTTAGCTTGGGTGCCTGTCATATGACAAGCCCCGGGCCAAAAGGTACCACAACGGGAGAGATGGGGATGAAGATGAGACAATCCCGCAGCAGACAAGATGATCGTTGGACCCGGTGGAGAATCACCTGGATCTGACTGGCAAGGTCGCCTGTACATGGGTCATATTCCATAGGATGAGGATTCGCTACATTGGTAAGTGCTCATTTCGGACCGCGTCCGTCACCTCCCGCAAAGGAACGGCAGCAACAGTTTCCGGAGCCGCTCCATCAGATAATGAGGGTCTGCTGGGTCTAGCCACTGCCAATCGATCGATCTGCCTCGTGGCGCCACGCCTGCTAAAGGCGGCAGATCGTCGACCACAGGTCCAGACGCCTTTCGGGGACTGGACCGTTAGCCGATGCTGTCGCTGGGACACTTTGCTCCGATATCTCAACGATAACACCCTGAGCCTGAAGCATCTCCAATCTGTCTGGAATCGTAGCTTGTCCATCACACAGGTTAGAGTATCCAAGCTGGACTTGAGAGAAACCTTCTTTAGGGTCGAAATCAAGATCCTGCAGAGGACGTGAAGGGCGACAGGGGAAGAGTGGGAACAGACGAACGATTACGATCATTTTAGCAAACCAATATCCGGTTGAGTAAGATGGAGCTGCTAGGTATCTGAATTAGCAGTATAACACGTAACTGTTCCAGAACTTCGGTGATGTAGCCAGGATGCTGCAACCTGCTACATCCCTGCGCAAAGGACAACCATCCCTGTCGATGGAGATATGAACGCGCATGTCTGGGCTGGATATACCATGCTGATGACTTGCCCATTATGGATATGTCCGACATCCGAATCTGATAATTATCTTAACAGGCTTCACGGCTCGTTTGACTTGCCTGCTCTGGTGTTGCCACTCGGGAGGATTCAGCAGTCTGAGTGAACTTTGGCGTCCCGGACCAGTGCGGGTAAGCGCCATGTCTATCACGGAGCGATGGCTGCGCCACGCGGACAGAGACAGGTTGAAAACACACGGACACTCCTTCCTGCCAGTGGGTCGAGGCTATAACGCCGGAAGATTATGAAAGACTATTCCTCCTCGCCCGGCCCTCTTCACCAGATGTTGCTATCGAACGTGCCAAGTGCAGGATTCTAAAGACAGGATCACCCCCTCAAGCACGCGGAGCTATCAGAGGCTGACAGTCCTCCCGCTGAGGTCAGCGCTAGGAATCCTCCGCCCACCAGGATCGCCTTCTGCAAGACGCCATCCAAGAGAATGAGGAAGCTTGATGAGCCTGGTGTGACACTGGAGTAGGTTGGGGTGGTTCTCTCCCGATAACGGGCTGCGGGTCTAAGTGGTCCTTGCGTGTTGCCCAGAGATACCTTCAGTCTTGGTATATCAGCCGGTGCATGGCCTGTTGAGCGGACCCCCAAGTGTCAGGTACATGGCAGCCAAGCTCTCCTCGTATTCCCTGAATCAGTGCGTCGTAAATCGCGATCCTTCTGCCGGAGTGTTGCCAACCAAGTGTGAACATCATGACTGCTCCCCGCGCATCAAGTGTGTCTGTCCAGAAAAATCGACCCCGGCAGACGGGGTCGCTGAGCCCAGCGTGCGATGAGTGTCGAATCCGCAAAGTGCGCTGCAATAAAGAGTATCCCAAGTGCTCAAGCTGTCGAGCATCTAATCTGCCCTGCGAATTCTCCAACAAGGGCAAGCGCATCAACCATACCAAGAAACTGTAAGTGGCCCCTCTCACCTCCCTTGATGGTCCGTGCTGCCTGGGTAAACTTTGGTCGGGTGTTCCCCGTCTGACAAGCTTTTCTCATAGTGTGAGTGATGTGGAGCTTCTGGGCAGTCGTTTAGGCAAGATTGAAGAGGCTCTCTTTCGCTGCTTGTCAGTGGTTGAAGCTGCCAACACCACGCGAGACAGCACTCCAACCCAAACCACGTCTCGGTCTGGTTCAGAGGGTCATGCGGACCGAGAAGAGTTTCGCCGGGGCTCGGTCGAGTCTGAGGAAAGCTGGTCAGATGGCTCGTCTGATCTGCTTGCTCACGGTGAACGAGATCCCGAGGCGGATCCGTTGCACTACAGCAGTCCGGTGGCATCGCTCTACTTTGAGGCTCAGGCTGCGGGCAACCAGCTGATATCGTCAACTCCATCAACAGAAGACGGCTCAAAGCCAGTGAGTCCGCGCATGAGCGAGACCCTGACCCGATCAACGCCCCTGGAAGCGTATTTGGTGGACGCCAACGAGCTCTTCCAAGAGCTGGCCACCGGCCCCCCTCCTGTCACTGAGCCCAAGTACGACGATCTCCCGCCGGCACTACCTCCACGTACTCTGCTGGAAGGTTTCGTGGAAGCCTACTTTACCGACCTAAATCCCTTTCTCCCTCTCTATGACCGACTAAGCGTGCTTGATGCCATTCAACAGCAGTATGGACCGCGAAGCGATGGGCCCGACCTGGCCTGGGTATGTTCGTTCAATAGTATCTTACTGCACACCCTTGAAGCCAAGTCGAGTGCCGCACAGCCAGGAGGACATACAGGAGATAGTACCCTGGAGCGAGGTTTGGTGGTGCATCTTCTGCTCAATGCCCGCCGCTGTTATAATAACTTTGAGCGCCTCCTGCAACCACGTCTCGCCAACGTCCAGAGCTTGTTTAGTATGGTATGCTCCAACCTCCAATTCGCTTAACTTAAACCCCATTCTCACGTCTGCAGGCACTGGTAGCACTCCGATACTTTAGCTTCACAATGTTTGAGACGGTATTTGCGCAGGCCTGCCAGTTGGCCCGCACCATCGGGCTGCACCAGACTGCCGCAGGTGCTCCACAGGAAGCAGAGCGTCGCCGCCTTTTTTGGTGCCTGTTCATCATTGATGTTAGTTTCCACTCCAGCCTTGATACAAGATCTTTGCCTGACCTAGAGTATAGAAGCATGCGGCTTTGGCAGCTGGCAAACCGTGTCTCCTCCCTTCTTATGCCTGTGCCATCCCAATTCCCAGTTCCAAGTGTGGGTCACTCATCGAGGATCAGTTCACGGCGCGAATAATGCTGGCCACCATCCTAGAGGAGTTATATCGTCGCCTGCATTCAGCCCGCAGTACGCGGCGTGGCCGTGAGCAAATCTCCCGCCGTGCTATCCAACTGAGCCGCCGGATAGAGGACTGGGCGGTACAGCACGAACACGCCCTTCAACCTACGGGCACACCAGAGGCGTCCCAGGTGCTGGCGGCCGCGGAATTGCAGTACGCATTATATATCTGTCGAGTTCTCGTGCAACGCCGCATCAATGGGCCGGAGAGTCGGTCCCTTCGGTATATCCACGCTCGTGCAGGTCTGCAGTTGCTTCAGGAGTTGTGTAATTGTGACCACCTGGGAGGACGTCGCGTCGGCTACGCCTTGTTCGCCAGGTATGTCGGCTTCACGGCAGACTGTTCCCTCCTAGTCCACTCATACTAACTTTCCCCCAGCGTAACACTAAATTACTCCCTTATTCCCTTCCTCGAGGTGTATATTCGGGTGCTGCAGGATCACCCCAAAGCGGATGCGTCGGATGTGGCGCTCCTGACGTCCTTCGCGGCGCGCGCGGACAGTCTGGCCGCACAGACAACAGCAACTTCGTATACGGCCCGAGTGCGCGAGGTCAGTGCTCTCTGCTATCAGGTTGTCACTCGGCTCCACCAGTCCCCCGATGTAGCCGAGTCCCAGGTGGATCAACCGACATTGCCGGACCCTTTCTGGGACCTGAGTGCCATGGCAGCCGATGCCGGGTGGGACACAACGCCATCAGCGCCCCAATTTTCCAGTAATCTATCGACGCATCCGGATCCTTCCTTCTTCCTCGATGCGGGAGGTTCCGTTGGACCGGCCTTCTCGCTGAGCGATCCTATCTTCACGGATGGTGGGCCGGTCATGTTTGACAATCTGCTGGACCCGTTTGCCGGCGCGGACACTTCTTTGGGGCTGATGCAGTGAACTGTCTCGTCCTATTCTGACGCTTACGCTGTTACGCTATTACTTGAATTTTTATCTAGCATGGGTTTTTTTTAATATTGGGATTCGGCATTGCAGGGTTGGCTGGCACTATTATCTTGTTATCTTGTTTCATTTCATGTTTGTATTGTGATAGATAGATCAGTAGATAGATCATTTAGACATAAACATAAACCACATATTCATCAAAAGTGTCTAAGGTAGATATTTCCGTACATTCCTCGGCTACAAACTGAACAAGTTCACAAAATGGCATGCCGGTAGCGACATAAACTCCTCCGATGCCACCGTCTTCAGGATGTGCTGCACTTTTTCGGTCGACAGTCGCAATCCCAGATTCCGCTCCGCCTTTGCGTAAACTTCCTGTGGTGTCTCGGGGCGACGAACATGTCCCAGCGGATACTCTACTAGTACCTCGGGCAGTGTCGTGCCATCCGTGAGGGTGACGGTGAGCGAGTTTGCCACACTGCGCACCGCCATGTCATGATAATCAGCCGTGTATTTGGGGTCTTCCGCCATTGTGATCTTCTGACGCAGTGCATCCACCCGCGGGTCTGTCGCCCAGGGACTGTCGTCCTGGTAGTCGGCCGTCTCGACCTGCGCTCCCTTCAGCAGCACCACAGCTACCATGTACCGCAGACAGTGGTCACGGTCTGCGGCGTTGTGCAATGTTGCTCCGCCCTTGTTAATGATTGTCATACCAGCAGCCTGAGTCTTGGCGTGGATCGACTGGATATCCTTGGCTGGGTCGAGTCCACGCGCCCGCAGGGTATTGGCGACTTCCAGCGCGGCCTCCACCGCTGTCATGCCATGGCCCTCGGCAGTGTTCACCTTGAACAGCACGGTTTCAATGACCCATGTGCCAAATGGCTGGGGAAGGTCAAACTCCTGGCCCTTGAACAGGACATCATAGAAACCCCAGCGGGGTGTGGTCAGCACCGTGTTAGCACCGGGTTGTCCAGCCTTGGCTAGTAGTGCCAGGTGCACAGCCCGCATGCAAGCATCGCCAGCTGCCCATCCTTTGCGCGGACCAGTGTTGGGTGCCTGGCGGTACACGCGGAGTGGGTGGCCGTCCATCCAGGCGTGAGAGACGGCACTGAGGGCCTGCTCGCGGGGAAGATCCAGCAGCCAGGCCGACACGGCGGTTGCACCAATCTTGACAAGGATTGTATGGTCCAACCCGACCTTGTTGAAGGCATTCTTAATCTGGAAGCAGCCCTGAATCTCATACGCCTTGATCAGGGCCTCCAAAACCTGCTGCATTGTCACGATGCTTTCGGGGTAGCCCTCTGCCAGGGCTACACGACTACGGACATCTGCGACGGCCAGGATCGCACCTAGGTTATCTGATTCAACATTATTAGTGCATGTGGCTTGACAATTGCTGGAGTGGTTTATAGCTCACCCGAAGGATGTCCCCATTCTGCACCGGGGAAGGCGTCATTGTGATCGAGGTAACGTATCATGGCCCCAAGATCAAAGGCTCCTTTGAGGATGTCCAGCTGGTAGGCTGTTCCCGGTAACCGGAACAAACCCGAGGTGGCTGGGGCGATGGGGAATGCCGGTCCAACAAGCTGAGCGCATTGTGGACTGGTATGGATACTTTCGAGGGCAGCACCAAGGGCATCCATTAAGGCGACCTTGGCCCGCGACCAGGCAATGTCTGTGGTGATCTGGTAGTCGTAGACATAGTCGACGATGGCCTGGATCACGGCATCGTAGGGCTTGCGGGAATTGTCGTCGGCGGCAGGAATGACAGTCATGCTGAACGGATACCGATTGGATGATAAGAGAACGCAGCAGATCTTCCCTTTTTCATGATAAATTACTTGTCGCCTTTCAAGTACTTTATGAATGTTGCCTTCAGGCAGTGGCGGACCGGAACCTCCATCCTGGCGCTGTTCGGGTTTCGGCCGCCGGATGGGACTGTGCAGCAACACCGAATGAACTGCTGCGAGATGTTTTGGCCGCCGAACAGCTTTCTGTCGGCAGGATTTGGTCTGTCTGAGTCAGCCATCACATACGTGAGAGAAGATGAAGTGAGACATATATTCTAACACAAAGTCTATCTCTCTCTGGCCTCTTCTTCTTGCCCAGGTCGTTGTTATCTCGACCAAATGTCGCCATAGTCACCCACCATGACCGCGACAACCGAGCTTCATCCTAACTCTTCATCTTCGCCCGCTGGGAATGAGCCCTCCGTGGCCTTTACCCTAACGCATGGCGAGATTACTGCCTCGCTGTCTGTCAGTAGTGCGGTGGCTACCACGCTGCAGCCCTACCGCGCCAGCTGGCTGGCCGACGACACTATCTCTCCTCTCAGTCTAATGCTGTCCTTCCTGGGCCATTTGACCCGTCAAAGGGCCCCTGCTTCAGCAGTCCAGACAGCTATCAGGGCCTTTGAGTCTCAGTATCTGTCTGGCAACGACATTCACACGGCTGTCACCATCCTGCCCGACGCTCTTGGTGCCAAAAAGACTGCCCTTCGAGACTACTATGCCTCCGCAGCCTATACCGGCCAGCCAATATCCAAATCACCCAGTGCCTTGTTCAAGTCCGCCCAGACAGGCACCTCCCGCATCACAACCATCTTTGGCGGCCAAGGAACGGCCAATCCATCGTGCGTGCGCGAGTTGCGGTCTCTGTACACCACCTACCGCCCCATACTCATCCAGCTCATACAAGAGTGTGGCCCTGTCCTGTCTTCTCTATCCCAGCGCCCGGACACACAGTCCTACTTTCGCGGTCGTTCTATTGACTTGGACACCTGGCTAGCCGGTGCAATAACCCTCAATGAGGACTATGTCAGCGCCGCGCCTGTCAGCCTGCCCATTCTAGGACTGTTCGATCTCGCCCACTACTGCATCATCTGCAATGTTCTGGGTCAGACCCCGGGACAAGTGGCCAACTCGATGCATTCCATCTCTGGCCATTCTCAGGGCATCGTTGTCGCCGCTGCTGTAGCTCGTGCTGACTCATGGGCCTCGTTCTACGACAACGCCCGGCTAGCTGTGGAGCTGTTGTTCTGGATTGGCTTTGAGAGTCACCAGGATACGCCTCAGTTGTTCATCGCGCCTGAGCTTATTGAGCAGACCAAAGAGCAAGGGCATGGAGTCCCCTCGCCAATGCTTTCCGTTCGAGGACTGGAGCGGCCAGCACTGGAAAAGCTTCTCACTCAATGCAATCAGGTGCTCCCTGGGTCGCGCCAGCTGCATATTGCCCTCATCAACGCTCGCACCAACCACATTGTCGCAGGTCCCGCAGCGTCGCTGTGCGGTCTCAGCCACATCCTGGCCGAGCTGCAAGCCGCTGGGGAAAAGGATCAGACTCGCATCCCGTTCAGCCAACGCAAGCCTGTGGTCACGCACTCGTTCCTCCCCATCAGCACTCCCTTCCATACTCCCTACCTACAGACGGCCTCCCAGCGCATCAAGGAGCGACTGGCCGATCGAGCGTTTTCCGCAAACGAACTGCAGGTACCTGTTTTGCACACCGCTACGGGCGAGGATGTCCGAGTCAACCCTCACTCCAATGTTATTGAAGCCCTCGTGGGTGCCATCACCACCGAGCCGGTCGACTTCCCCCGTCTGTTGGCCGACGCAACCACCACCCATTTTCTCATTCTCGGAGCCGGTCGTCTCAGCGAGCTAGTCAAGCAGATCAGACAGGGTTATGGCCAACAGATAATCGCTGCCAGCGAGCTTAAGCCTTCCAGTGCCGACATCGGTAGCCAGGCAGACCTCTTTGCATCCACCCTCCGCCCGGCTCCTTCATCTTGGGCGGACACTTATCAACCCCGCCTGGTGCAAACAGCCAATGGCCGGTTGATCCTCGACACAAAGCTCAGTCGTCTGCTGCAAGTACCACCGATCATAACCGCCGGTATGACGCCCACTACTGTGCCCTGGGACTTCGTGGCTGCTGTCATTAATGCCGGCTACTTTATTGAGTTGGCCGGCGGAGGCTACCACACCGAAGACGAGATGCGCGTCGCCATCGAGAAGATCGCTGCCGCCATTCCCCCCGGTCGCGGCATCACCTGCAACCTCATCTATGTCAATCCCAAGGCGATCGCTTGGCAGACACGGCTGATCCGCAAGCTCATCCGCCAGGGCGTGCCCATTGACGGGCTTACCATTGGTGCCGGTGTGCCATCGCTCGAAGTTGCCCGCGAATACATCGACGACCTTGGCATTAAGCACATCTCCTTCAAACCTGGATCAATTGATGCCATCAATGCTGTGCTACAGATTGCTGATGATAGACCAAACTTCCCCATCGGGCTCCAGTGGACAGGAGGCCGGGGAGGCGGCCATCACTCCTATGAGGACTTTCACGCGCCCATCTTTGCTACCTATGCAGAAATTCGCAAGCGTGATAACATCTGTCTTGTCGCAGGCAGTGGCTTTGGTGCTGGAGACGATACCTACCCTTACCTGACCGGCCAGTGGTCAGTTGCTCGGGGGTATCCCGCCATGCCCTTTGACGGAATTCTGCTGGGCAGCCGCATGATGCTCTGTCGCGAAGCCCACACCAGTCCAGCAGTGAAGCAGCTGCTCGCCACCACACCTGGTGTTCCTGATGGCGAGTGGGAAAAGAGTTACAAGGGCAGCGCAGGCGGCATCATTACAGTTCGGTCGGAGATGGGCCAGCCTATCCACAAGGTCGCTACACGAGGGGTCCGGCTGTGGGCCGACTTTGATCAGACGCTGTTCCGCCACCCTCGTCCCAAGATGGTCGAGGAGCTGGCCAAACGCAAGACGGAGATCATTGCCCGTCTGAACAAGGACTATGCCAAACCCTGGTTTGGTCAGGATGCCCGTGGACAGCCGATTGACCTGGGAGACATGACTTATGCCGGGGTACTGAGCCGCATGGTCGAGCTGATGTACGTGGCTCATCAGCAGCGCTGGATTCATCCGTCGTACAAGCGCTTGGTGTCAGATGTGGCGGTTCGCACCCTCGAACGAGTTGCTCCCTCTGTGGAACTGGACTTAGGACTGCTGGATGTACCAGCCAGCTTCCTGCAGGTGCTGACCGAGAAGTGTCCGGCAGCAGCCACACAACGCCTGCATCCCGACGATGCGGCTTTCTTTCTGCGACGCTTCCAGGCGCGTGGGCAGAAGCCTGTCAACTTCATTCCTGCTTTGGACGAGAACTTCGAAACCTGGTTCAAGAAGGATTCGCTGTGGCAGTCAGAGGACCTTGAGGCTGTCATAGGCCAGGACCCCGAGCGCGTGTGCATTCTGCATGGCCCTGTCGCCGTTCGCCATGCCACCAGCAAAGACGAATCAGCCCAGGAGATTCTCGACGGCATCGCGACCTTTCACACCCACGCGGCTCTGCAGGAGTTTTACCATGGTGATCTCCAGCGAGTGCCTAAAGTTGCCGGTCCAGCTGTCGCTGATACCCATACTCAACCCGAAACTTCGTTTGAAGTGAGCTCGCTGGATCTGGTGACAGCCGAACCTTTTGGCTGGGTACATGACCTCCTCGAGACACCTACGATCATCCGTGCTGGTATCCGCAAAAAGAACGCGTTCCGCAGCATCCTGGCCGTAAAGCCAGGTCAGAAGTTGATTGTCAAGCCCTCGGAGCAGCGCATTGTGCTCTGTGAGAGGAGCACGGAGCAGCCAGTAATCAGCATCCGCTGTGACACCACCAGGACCATCTTTGTAGACCTTCATCAGCCCAGCAGCTTTACCGCTGCCCCTGCAGTACTCTCGCTCCAGTACAAGGCTCGTTCCTCCGGATTGTCTCCAGCACTGGAGGAGCTTGTTGACGGACGCAATGACCGCATCAAAACCTTCTACCGCAACCTTTGGCTGGGAGAATCGGCAGGTTCTACTAAGGATAGCCACTCTACCTTCCATGGACCTGAGATAACCCTCACTCACGACCTGCTCGAGGACATGTACCAGACATTGGGTCTCTCGCCGACGGGAATCCGACCGACATCTCTTCCCATGGACATCGCTATTGTGATCGCCTGGGAACCGCTAGTCGAGCCACTTGTCTGCGCGGGAGTTGAAGGGGATCTTCTGCGTCTCGTGCACCGCTCCAACGACATCGAGTATGTGCCCTCCGCGACACCTTTCCAGGTCGGAGATATCCTGCGCTCGAGTAGTCAGATCCAGTCCATCACCATTGAGCCGACGGGCAAGTCGATCGTTGTGAAGGCCACCATTGAGAGGGCCGGTGAGCCCATCGCCTTCGTCACTTCCTCCTTCTTCATGCGCGGCACTTACACCGACTATGCCTCCTGCTTTGAGCGCATCACCGAGCCTGAGACCTTGCTCGAAGTCTCAACTCCCGTAGATGAGGAGCTGCTCCGATCCCGACCGTGGCTTCAGCTGAATGAACCCGCGACCCCGATCGTCGGCAAGACGCTTTGCTTCCGACTAGAGACGTCCATCAATTGGAAGGATCAAACAACCTTCCAGACACTTCAAACCAGTGGCACAGTCTCCCTCCGCTCCTGGAATGGCAAGCAAACGCCCATCGGTCGGGTATCCTTCGAAGCTCGCGACGGCAAGGCCAACCCGGTGTCGGACTTCCTACGTCGACGTGGTCAGCCACTGGTCGCTCGGAAGCCACTCGAGGTAACTCAAGATCTGAACCAGACCTCTGAGGGCGTACAGATCCCCGCATCCAATGCGGGCTACAGCACCTTCTCCAAGGATTTCAATCCCATCCACATCTCGTCCGAATTTGCCCAGTATGTCGAGTTGCCTGGTACTATTACTCATGGCATGTACACTTCGGCTGTGGTGCGTGCAGTAGCGGAGCGCTGTGCGGCGCAGGGTGATTTGACACGTTTCCGAAGCTGGGCCTGCTCCTTTGTCGGCATGGTGCTGCCCAGTGATCGGCTTGATGTGCGCGTGCAGCACGTCGCCATGATTGAGGGACGGCTACTGTTGAATGTGACAGCCGTCAAGGCTGGTACGGATGAAGCAGTCATTCAGGCTGAGGCTGAGGTGGATCAGCCCTCGACGGTGTATGTCTTTACCGGACAGGGCAGCCAGTCACCAGGTATGGGGATGGGTCTGTACAAGTCCAGTGCGGCTGCTCGGGCCATTTGGGACGCAGCAGACAAGTTCTTTGTCGAGACTTACGGTATGTGCATCTTTGTATCTCTAATATCTCATCCAGCAAACTAATAACGGTTGTTAGGATGGTCGGTTCTTGAGCTCGTCCGCCAGAATCCAACCGCTTTGACGGTGCACTTCCGGGGCAAACGCGGACGCCAGATCAAGGCCAATTACATGGCCATGACCATCGATTCGTACAGGGCCGATGGAAGTGTGGTAAAGGAGCCTATTCTTCCGGAACTCACGCCGAAGTCCACTTCCTACACATTCGCAGATCCGCGGGGATTGGTGTTCTCGACGCAGTTCGCGCAGCCTCTAGTCTTGTTATTGGAACGTGCGGCGGTCGAGGATCTCCGGCAGCGGGGAGTTGTTCAGCAGGATGCAGCGTTTGCAGGACACTCCCTGGGCGAATATGGTGCATTGGCGTCCTTTGGCGAATTTATGCCTTTCACGGATCTGCTGCGAGTGGTCTTCTATCGGGGTTTGGCCATGCAGGTGGCCATTGAGCGCGATGACCAGGGACGGACCAACTTCTCCATGGCGGCGGTAAACCCGGCTCGTGTAGGCAAGTGTAAGTATACCCTTACTGCTACTTTGTGTGGGTGGGGGAGTTAGAGTTAATGCTGACAATGCTTTAGTCTTCACGGAGAAGGCTTTGAGGCAGATTGTGTCGCAGATCGCCACGACAACGCACGCCCTACTCGAGATTGTCAACTTCAATGTCGACGGAGAGCAGTATGTGTGTGCTGGAACGGTGAGTCTTGATTCCGGTCAAACGACGTAGGTACATTCGCTTATGATATCAGCTCGAGAACCTTCATGCCCTGGCCGCCATTACTGACACCATTGCGCGATCCCCTATTGGGGCTGCCCTTGCCCGCGAATTCACCGATGCTACTACGGTCGGTAACGCAGACCTTGCATCGACGAAGCTGGTAGAGCAATGCATTGCTGAAGCCCGCCAACTCCCAGCACCAGTGACCTTGAAGCGCAGCCTTGCTACCATACCCCTGCAGGGCATTGATGTGCCCTTTCACTCGGCGCATCTGCGGCCGGGAGTGGCCTCGTATCGCAACTTCTTGGAGGAACGTATTCCCAAGACTGAAGTTGATCCGCAGAAGCTGGTGGGCAAGTGGATTCCCAATGTTATGGGGACGCCGTTCTCGCTGAGTCTAGAGTATGTCGAGGGGGTGTATGGGCTGACGCAGAGTCCAATCTTGAAGGAGGTGCTGGCAAGATAGGCGAAGTAACGGAGAGTTACTAGTATTGTGTGGGTTCATGTGTATACGATAGATTGTCTAGACGATTCGTCTATGTTTTTTTGTCTTCTGGGAGTTTCAGCAGTTACTTGCCGTCTAATATACTAGCCTTTTGCGATATGAATATAACCACCTTCAATGATTTTAAGTACAATTCAAAGTATTCCCATAGCCGATACTCTAGTTTGTTGGAAGGATACCACATGGGAATGCATAAAGTCATCTTTGGTTATTATAATAGAACTGTCTATCATTCCATATGAGTCTTGTCCCCAGTGGTGAGGATGTGCATCATTGTCTGATCCCTTGTTATTTTGCTATTCCGCATAGCTCTCATTGCCTTGTTGTAATGAAGTGCTTTTCCTGTACATTCTACTCACCTTTTTGGTAGTTTGTTTCCGTTCATTAGTTGCTATTTCCAGGTAGTAGTTGCGATCGAAGATGTTACTACTTAATGTCACTCGGTGACATAGTATATATATTCGCTACTAGTAGGGGTTGACCCAGCCAATGATATACTGTTCGCTTCACAAATTCGGCGGAACAGAGTGCGTGTGAAAATTTACAGTAATTCCTTGCAGCGTAATCGAACTCTTCAATCTAAGGGGCAGTAGGTCCTCAATCTAGTGAAATGAATTATGTGGAGACATTACATTTTGGAACATGTACTGTGAGGGTGAAGAGGCAATTGCCTAAACTGTCAATTACTTCAAGCATAATATTGCGACAAATAACATGTACCAGCATCATTGGTCTAGTGGTAGAATTCATCGTTGCCATCGATGAGGCCCGTGTTCGATTCACGGATGATGCATACCTTTTTTGCCCCATTCTTTTTGCCCCTTCATCCCCAGCCATCCATGTCCATTGCCCTATCTATTTTTGCTATCTCGTATCTATCTACTCGACTACTATGTTTACTGTAAATGCATGTCCAATCATCGGAAACACTCAGACTGCCGCCCTGCAGCTCTCGGGCCTGCCGATCGCAACCCACCGTTGCAGCTCCCCCACTCCATGGCTCATCCTTTAAGACGTTTAGACCTGCCTATCTCGCTGCTTTGTGTCTCTTGGATGGCTGTCTGGTTCAACGGCTATCCACAGTTGATCAAGTGACTCTGTTGCAGTGGAACGGCTACCCTGCACCTAACTCTTTTCTCTCGCCTGCGAGTTCCCAGCCAACGAGGTCCCTTCTGACTGTTGATACTGGAGGAGAACGCTATCCATCTCACACTTCTCTTGCTAGCTAGTTCGTTGGCAGCTTCAGATTGGCCGGCCGAGCTTGACATGACTAACTACGGTTCGAAGTAGTGCAACGACCATCTCCTTAGCTCAAAATGACTGCTGAGAACGAATCATCCTGCCGGGATTTGGTGGTGATCGGGGGTCAGCCGAGGGCAATGACGAGCTACCCTGGAAGTGTATCGTTGACCTTGGGGGGAGGGGCAAACCAGAGGAGACCACGGAAAACGAAGTAAGGCAAGGCAAGGCAAAGCAATGCAATGCAAGAACCAAAGCACAGCCAGTGGAATCCACCCTCAGAGAGGGAGAAAGAGCAAAATTTCACAAGAGAAGGGCGATGATCCGCAGTCCATGCTCCAATGGGAGACCCGACGGAGAATTAACAACGCCCGGTTCCACTGCGAAAATGTCAGGCTGATTGATTGCCTGGGAGGGTCCCTCTTTTTTCCCTCTCCCTGTGTGCGTCCCAGAGTCCCAGAACTCATTGGAATTGCCCACTGTGGAAAAAGTGATGCTATCTCGGGACAATGAGGACCCTCTTGGCCCGAGCGTTTGCAGGCTGCAGAGATTGTCGCTGGGATCGCTGGCAGAAACTCTACTTCTCCTACAATGATTTTTCATTATCTTGGAGGGGGAACTAAACTCTAACCTGCTAATAGACTTTGAATTGATACCCAGCCACAAATACTCAGTGATGCAGCAGCCGAGATAATCATGACTGACTAGGGATGGGAGGCTAAGGAGCGATCGCACCATCTGCACTCATGGTATGACTTGAACCCTCACCAAGTCCAAGCGATGGTAACGAGGGCAACCAGTACCGCCCACTTGGACAGTGTCAGTGTCAGTGTCAGTGCCCTCCAAGTCTTTGCCGCGATCGCGATGGCATCGATTCCAATCAATTGTTATGCTTTCTCCCTCTCGGGCAGGTGGGGCCGTTGCGTAAGTCGGAATTCTGATTGCATCGCGAAACCAAAATAAAAATTCCTAAGCAAAGTGAGTGATGGATGGATGGCTGGATGGCAGTGGAAGTGTAAATGTAGCAACTATCAGAAAGTTGTCGATCCTGCGGAGTCTATCTCCTCTCTCAAACTACTGTTGTACCACGACGTATACTTTCTAGTGCTGCCTGCCATATCGACCCCTCCTCCCTCCCATCATCATCCCTTTCTTGACTAGATAGTGTAGACTTGTTGACTGCCTAATCAATTGAAAACCGACTACTCTGTAGTCCGTCTTGATAGTCTTTCGTAGTCTTCAACACCACTCTGAATCTGCTCGCCAGCCACCGGGACAAGCGATATTTTCAAGGCATCTTAGCCCCTCTACGAACCTACTTTCGCCCGACAAGTAAACGTAGGAAAATCAAAATGCGAAATATTCGCCCCCGCGGCGGACAGATGTTTTTTTTCTTTCGCACCTTCGGAGACAAAACATCGTCATATCTGCTGGTGGACATGCGTTGGCCCAATGAGAAAGACGGCCGGCAGCGCGTCGAGGATGAAGCGGTGAAGGGCACAGCGATGGAGATCCACATCGGGCAAGCCGTGGAGGTCAAGCTAAAAACCCTAACGGCACTAAGAAGACGCAGAATCCTCCATCCCAGCAAGCTAATCCAGCTAATCCCAGCTAATGGACCCACGAACTGCTGTAGCCGCAAGACAGCTGCCTTCTCGTCGCCAATCAGCGTCTTTTCGGCCGCGTAGCTTGCATCCCGTCCACTCGGCAGCTTCTCAACTCCCTTCCTCTTCGTTTGCTTTTTCGTTGCGACTCATTGCTTTTCGGGGACCAGCTGGAGGTCCATGCTGTTTTCCCTTTCGATAAGGATGTGAAAATTTTTCTTGTTGGTCAGGCCATGACGCCGACGCCAATCTGGAGGGGTGGACATTCTTTTGCGCATGAGCCAGCGATCTCAAGTGCTATTAAAGACTCCATCTGGCTCCTCCTCGTCTCCCTCTTCCTCTCTTCCCTTTCTTCCTTTTCAACTTATCCCGCGTCGATCGCGTTGTGAATATTCTATCGTGACCGCATTGCTGGTCCTGTACCACTACTTTTATCCTCTTCCTTTTTTATAGTTCTGTTGTGAATCATCCCAATGTTCAAGCAGTACTCCCATATCTTGTCCCACAAGAGGCGTCGCAGCAGGGGAAGCACCATCAACCAAGTCCTATCGGCCGCTCAGTCTGAGCCTGCATCTGAGGCTGCCACGGTCAGCGACCCTGTCGAAATATGGACGCACTCGCAGTTGCTGCCCGAGGATGATGAGCATCGCAAGGACTGCTTCACCACCCTGACCCCGCGCATTCACAAGTACGACCATGTCGCCCAGCGCGGCAGCGATCGCTTCGTCCAGGACTTGACGGCCGCCCTGAACCTGGATGAGCCCCAGACCAGCTACCTTTCTTCCCCCGTCGGCAACTATGCTAGCTTCCTCTACCCGGAGTGTTTGCCCGAACGTCTCGAAACTGTCGCGTACTTGACTGAACTCGGCAATCTGCATGATGGTATGTGAAACCCCCATAGCCATCTACTAGCATGGCCGAACCCACCTCTGACGTCTTAGGCAAACAACAAGGCAAGAAAACCGATGAATCCGCCGAATCCCCCCGCGTCGCCGCCCGGAAACAACTACTAGAAAAGGCTATGTCGGAGCTGTCGGACAAGGACAAGGATGGCCACGAGATCATCGACTGCTACCGCAGTAACTGGCTGGTCACCCCGGAGGTCCCCACGGCTGAGAACTGCGCCAACCTCGACGACTATGTCGCCCGGAGACGCCTCAATGCGGGCATTGAGTAAGTCACCTTTTCCATCGTGTGTTTGAATCATGAGATGCTAACGTGGATGTCAGCGTCTACTGGACCCTCATGGGCTTCGCGCATGGCACTCGTCTTGGAAAAGAAGACCAGGCGGTGGTGCGCGACGCATTGGATGCCGCCGAGCGCACCATGTTTTTCACCAACGACTACTACAGCTGGCCCAAGGAGAAGCGCATCTCTAAGAAGCGCCCCGTTGCCAACGTGATTCTTTTCCTCATGGAACACCAGAACATGTCCGAGGAAGACGCCGTCGCCAAGGCGAAGCAGCTGATCATCGACAACGAGCACGAGTTTGTCCGCCGTCGCGAGGCGCTCTACCAGGCCAACTCGGACCTGGCACCTCAGCTCCGCAAATGGATGGAGGTGCTGGGTGCCTCCCTGGCTGGTATCCACTACTGGTGCAAGAATGCTCCGCGCTACGCAGTCCCCGAAACTGCCGAGGAGAGTGAAGAGGAGGAGTCGTCATCCGAGGAAGATGGCTCCGATGAGGAAGAATCTTCCTCTGACGAAGACACCGAAGAAAATGAGGAAGAAGAAGAGGAAGAAAAGGCTGCCCCCGTTGAGGTGGTGCCGGAACCCGAAGAGAGTGAAGAACCCGTGGAGGTGGCTGTTTGGACCCCCCTGGTCACCGAGGAGGAAACCCCCGACGTGCATCTGGATACCTCCGCCCTGCTGGCCCCCAGCAGCTACGCCCGCTCGATCTCCCGCAGCACCCTGCACAGCGATTTGCTTACTTCCCTGAATGCCTGGCTGCAGGTTCCCGCCCGCCCGTTGGCCTTCATTCGCCAGGTTATTACCGAGCTGCAGGATTCGACCGGCATGCTGGCCGACGTGCAGGACCAGGCCGCCCTGCGCGACCAGCGCACCCCGGCCCACCTGGTGTACGGACCCGCGCAGTGCATGAACAGTGCGGCGTACTTGTTTGTGCGTGCCGCCCGCATTGTCACCAGCCTTAACTGCCCCGGCATGCTGGATGGCCTGCTGCAGGAACTGGAGGCACACTTTGTCGGCCAGTCGTGGGAGCTGAACTGGCGCTTTTCGACCCACTGCCCCGGCGAGACCGAGTATCTGGCCATGGTGGACCAGAAGGCCGGCGCCAGCTTCCGTCTGCTGACGCGCCTCATGCAGGCTGCCAGTATGGGCGGCGCTACCCTGGACCTGGAGCCCTTCACCAAGGTGCTGGGTCGCCTGTCGCAGATCCGCCACGAATACTTGGGTCTGCTGGAGTCCACCGCTAGCGACCGGTCGTTTGGCGAGGACCTGGACCAGGCCAAGGTGACGTACCCCATCGTCCGGGCCTGCAACCTGGACCCTGCTGGTCGGGCGGTTATATTTGGCATCTTCCGTCAGAAGCCGGCCGGCACGGTGCTGCCCATTGAGAGCAAGCGGCAGATCGTGTCGCTGGTGCAGCAGACGGGGGCCCTGCAGGCCACCTACGACCTGATCCGTCAGCTGGCCCGTGAGGCCATGAACACGCTGAGCGAGCTGGAGACGGCAGCGGAGGAGCTGAACCCGTCGTTGCGCGCGGTGGTGAAGTCGCTGGCTGAGGTGCCGGCACCGGATCACCTGTAAAAAATTTGATACCTTTGATGGAGATGATGCGTGGTGGTTGATATGATGATGACGACGATGACGACGATGACACTCCTTGTTTCTCTAATGTCTACATGTCTACTTTCCTTTGGCGTTTTCTGTGATGATGATTTATGAGACTTTCCTTGATGTACGGCTATGAGATGATATGATTAATGACGATTATATTCCAGCACTCAGACGTTGTCAGTTAACGAGTAGAGAGGATCCTATTCTCAGGAAACAGTAGTATAGTTACAACATCAACACATGAGTTACAACGCGATCAACACCGACTTCAGCTCGGTCCAGTAGTCTGTGGCATACCGACTCAGCTCTCGTCCCTCTCCACTGCCCTTCCAGCCCCCAAATGGCATGTCAAACGCCATGGTCGGACTGGTGCAGTTGACCCCCACGGTACCCGCCTCGAACTTCTTGGCCGCTCGCAGCGCTCGTGAGATATCCCGTGTGTAGACACTAGCATAAAGTCCGTACTCGGAGTCGTTGGCGCGCGCCATGACGTCTTCCTCGTCGGTGAAGGTGTTGACGGCCACCACGGGACCAAAGATCTCCTCCTTCATCAGGCGCGACTCCTCCGGCACATCCTTCAGGATGGTTGGCTGCACAAAGTAACCTTTGTCGCCCTCGCGCGCACCACCCAAGTACACCGAGACACCCTCCTGCTTTGCCAGATCCAGATAGCCCTGCACGCGCGCAAATTGGGCAGCATCGGCCTGCGGGCCGCGCGTGGTGCCCGGAATGAGCGGGTGACCACTCTTGCCCATCTCCGTCATGGTGGTCTTGAGCTGCTCAAGGAACTGAGAGGCTATGGCCTCATGTACATAGACCCGCGAGCTGGCAACGCAGACCTGGCCGGAGTTTGTGAGGATGGACATGGCAGCAGCCGGAACAGCCTTGCTCAGATCGGCATCGTCCCAGATCACTAGCGGGGACTTGCCGCCCAGCTCGAGGGTGACACTCTTGAGGTTCGATTCGGCGGCCATCTTCTGGATGGCGCGACCCGTGGCAGTTGAACCGGTGAAGGAGATCTTGCGGATCTCCATGTGACGGGCGATGGCCTCACCACAAGGGCGACCGAATCCACTGAGCATATTGAAGATACCCGGAGGAAAGCCGGCTTCCTGGGCACAGCGAGCAGCCACCAGGCAACTCAGAGGGGCCTTTTCGGAAGATTTGATGACGATGGTGTTGCCGGTGACCAAGGCTGCGGCAGCCTTGAAGATCATGGTCACCACGGGGCCGTTCCAGGGGACAATAGCACCGCACACGCCAAAGGGTTGGCGCAAGCTGACATTAACGAAGCCAGGGGTGTTCAGGGAGGATTCGCCGGTGATATCTAGGGCCTTGGCGGCATATACCCGCACGAACTGGGCCATGAAACGACCGAAGTCTGGATTTTGGTCACGAGTTAGGCATGTCTGTACAATAGGGATGACGAGGGAATGAGCTTACGGTCATTGTATGCGGGCTTGCCCATGCAAATGGCATCAAGATAGGAGATCTCATCAGCGCATGCCTCCAGACGATCGGCCCATTTCTCCAGCAAGTGGGCTCGCTGCAGGGCTCCCGTTTCCGACCAGGCTGGGAAGGCAGCTTTGGCGGCCGCAACAGCGCGGTCGACATCATCGGGACCGGCTTCATAGACCGAGGCACTGAGCTCCTCGGTGGCCGGGTTGTACAGGTCGAACTTGGACCCGGAGAGGGAGGGGACAAACTCGCCGTTAATGAAAAGGCGAGTCTCGATGTTCTCCCGCTGTCCAGGATGTTGGGGGATAGATTGAGACATGATGAGAACGACTAAATCAAGTAGAGTGAGATTAGAGGGTTCTGAGGACTGATGATCAAGGTCAAAAGAGACATGGGTGACGGGCTTAATATAAGGGAATGGATGGATATTAGGCCAACTGCAGCAATGAGGGGTTGTATTGGCTCGGTCTCAACACTAATGCAGTGGTGTAACCGATCCCTCCTATGAGAGATTCGCATCCGACGATCCTCACCCGTGGCTCCACGACGAACGAGCTCTGACATTCCAGATGCTCTTGGATGCCGTCATGGGATGAGGGTTGCTTGACTTTCTTTGAGAGAGCTTGACAGGGGCGATGCTACTGCTGACAGCCATGGCCCCGCAGGCTAACTAGTCACTAGTAACCAGTCGTAATTCCGCATGCGGGTTTAAGTTTCAAACAGACGAAAATCTCGGCCCCAAGCTCCAGTATGCTGACGGTCTGGATGTATCTATGGCCTGGCTCGTTTCAAGTGGGGCACGGAGGGCTGAAGGAAGTTGTTCGATAGAAATGGTATATATTCTTCAATGTGGGACTGAAACATAGACGGAATTACGATGGACTCCATTATTCACAAGGAGGCACAGAAATTTTGCATCATGGTTGCACGACCCAGCAAACACGAGGAACGCCTCCTGAGTATGTAGAGGAATGACAACCTGTATGATGTCTCCTTGCGGTAGGGTCATCACGATCATTGCTGAATGTCATCCTGTCGTCCCCTAGACATGAATGGTGGAGATAAGATCGGATACCGGAGTTATCGTATCCGGGGATAATAGATGTTGTCGCCGGTTATTCCATCAAGCTATAATATGCTATAATATGGAGAGTGAAGAGAGATCAATGTCGATGAGGTGTAAATGCTGCCGTCAGCCATCGTTGCTTCATTAATGCTGATTATCAATTCTGAATATTTTTGGGGTCCATCACTGCGGAATACCCCATTAGGCTAGTGAAGATCACATTCCCCTTATGGAAATATGTCCCGGCTACTCTGTACAAACAGTACAAATGTCACAAACAGTAGATGACAAACAGAACAAACATAAGAAACACAACAAATCGGATAAACCCACCCCATACAAAATATTATGGAGAGTTAGGTCAAGGCGAACAGATGTGGGAAAGAGACCTACAAAAGGACCCTCAATATCCTCCGTGAACTTGAAATGAAATATTCTCTCGAGATGGATCTTCTACTATATTTGTTCTACCTTGCTCACAGTCATGGCTGGCACACTACCGTCAGTCCTGCAGACTTTGCTGGCTGGTTCCCACTACTTCTCCCCTCAGAGGTCTTCTGTCTGCCACCATCACCAGCATGACATCGCCTCCATCGAATCCATGGACTCATGGGCCCAACTTCGTCTTATGAAGCAGCTGCTCTGTGTTAGACATCCTCGACAACCTCTTACACCCTCCTTACTTCAGGGGATCGATCAGGTTCTGCTGGAAGAGCGTGCCAGTCGCCTTCTTGTTGACGCTGCTTCCATTCCGGCCCTTCCAACTCCATCATCAGAGCCTCTTCCTGCCACGCTCCGTCTGTGGCAAGGAGACATTACCACCTTAGATGGAGTCACTGCCATCACTAATCCGGCCAATGAGCAAATGCTGGGATGTTTTCAGCCGGCCCATCGATGCTTGGACAATGTCATCCACGCCCGGGCAGGTCCCCGCTTGCGCGAAGAATGTTTTCACCAGATGTCCCAAGGCCAGCGCATCTTGCCTGTCGGTCAGGCATGTGCCACCAAAGGCTACTGCCTGCCCACTCCCTACGTGATTCACACCGTGGGCCCCCAACTGAATGGGGAACAGCCTGTGCCTACTGCGCACCAACGACAACAGCTGCAGCAATGCTACATGGCCGTCCTGGATGTCGCAGAATCCCTGCCTGCATCGGACCCTCAGGGCAAGACCATTGCTCTTTGTGGCATCTCGACCGGACTGTTCGCTTTCCCCGTGGAGGAGGCTGCAGCCATTGCCGCGAGAGTGGTACTTGACTGGCTGCGGCGCCGTCTGCACACCTCCATTACCAACATCATCTTCAACACCTTCACCGACACGGACACGACTGTCTATCAACAGACGCTCAAGGGAATGCACTATCCAGCTCCCTCGCTTGTGCCACCTCCCCAGGTCCATGGATCTTCGCTCAACCAAGCCAAAGCTTGGCTGGCTGCTGCCGATACCATTGTTATCAGCTGCGGAGCCGGCATCTCAGCGGCCACCGGACTCGACTATACCTCGACTACTCTGTTCGATCGCCACTTCCCGGCATTCAAACAATACCAGCTGCGACGGCTCTATGACACCTTTGGCCGCACCAACCGCGATTGGCCGTCCGAGAGCGTCCGTTGGGGATTTTACTTCTCCCATCTAGCCATGGTGCGTCGCTGGCCCCGCTCGTCCCTCTATACCTCCCTGTTAGAATGGCTGGCATCGCGTTTCTCACCTGATCGGGTTCATGTACGCACCTCCAATGCAGATGGACTGTTTGTAGCCCATGGATTGCCTGAAGCGCAACTCTCCACCCCCCAGGGCCAGTATGCCTTCTTGCAATGTCTAGAAAATTGCCGTCCGGATGCCGTTTTCCCATCTGCCCCCTATCTTGACGCTGTCCTGCCGCATCTGGATCCACACACCCAGGCCGTAACTGCGCAGGACAAGATTCCGACATGCCCCTTCTGTGGTGGCGCTATGTCGATATGTGTTCGGGCAGGAAACTGGTTCAACGAGCGACCCTTCGCTCCCGGCGAAACGCGATGGTACCAGTTCCGTGAGGCCTTCCTCACGGATTGGACACGAAACGTAGTCATTCTTGAGCTGGGAGTCGGCCTCTCCACACCAGGGGTGCTGCGGTGGGATAATGAGGAGCTAGTCGAGCAGGGCGATGGACGTGTACGACTGGTGCGCGCGGGCTTGGGCGACGCTGTGCAGGTTCCTGGGGAGTTGGCTGCCGCGCAGCTGGCCATCAGCATAGAAGGGGACTTGCGGGATGTGGTTCGGGCCATCGTGGCTCCGTAGACTGGTCAGTTGATACGTAAATATGATATATCCACCCTGTTGAATCGGCCTCTCGCCGAACTTGAGTACTGTATATGCTTGACCTGGTATATGCAGCGATGACCTAAATACTTCGTAGCTCGTGTTGGAAAAGTATGTGAATTTTGCGGGATTGTAAAATTTAAAGGCGTTGGGGCCATGTTCTATTTCAGACGGTGAAGCACCTGCTCAGTTAGCATCTTACATAGAGGGCTCTATCAGCAATGGAGAACGGCAATTGATTTGACTGTATTCTGTTTCGGGTACTGTGTAACTATTCGAACGAAACGATAACTGGTTGCATTCAATGATTGCACTAAACTAGTTATAACTAACTAAGAATCATGAAGAAAAAGACCAGTAAGAACTTCTACTTATCTTACCATCTTACTACCCTGCCCAAATCAGCAGATATCTACTACTTCTATTACTAGAAAAACATCTGACAGTATCTTTCTCTTCTAATTCTTTAATAGATTAGCTAACAGCAAACACAATATTAACTAGAATCAGAATAAAGATATAATACTAAAATATAATTAATATAGTAATTAATCTTAATAATCTTTAGCTTTATGAATTCCTGCTATTTAAATTATTATTTTTATTTAAATTTAACTCTTTAATCTTATATAATATAATAATAATTACTTATAAATATTAATTTTAAGCTAGTTATTCTTCTAAGATAATAATCTGCTCTTATAATTTTGTAGTAATATTCTAAATTATTACTAATATTTATTATATAATATAGATTTAATTCTCTAACTTCTTAATATAATAATTTAATTCTAGTTTCTTAATATCTATCCAGGCCTTCATATCAGTAATTCTTTTTATATAATAATCTTATTCTATAACTAGTCTTTCTAATATTATTTTATATTATTTTTTTATAGTTAAGTCTTCTTAAACAGCTTATTTTTTAGCTTTTTCTTAATTTTCTATATTATATAAATCCTAGACTAAAATATTAAGTATTATCTTATTTTTAATAATTTATTTAAGCCTGCGGGTTTTATGTTCCAGAGTTTTTTTTATAATAATAAATTTATTATCCTGATTATAAATTATATTATAAATAGAAATAACTCTTAGTTAATTACTATCTAGTTATATAATTTTATCTGAATAATACTGATAATTATAGACTACTTTTTATCTTAGGATTAAATTATTAATAATATATTAAGATAGTAGTAACTCTTCTTTTTTATTTTCTCTAAAAATCAAAGAATAATACTTTATCTAAATATAGTTTATAGATTTCTAAAAATAATTCATATATCTCTTCTAAATACTTTAATCCTAATAAATAGCTACCAGTAATTATTTTTTTATAAAAATAATATTTAGATTTATATTTATAATATTATCTATTAAACTGTTTAAGTAGGAACTAGTATTTTATTTTAATTTCTTTTTTTATTTTATTTCAGATTATAAAGTATTATTATATATATATTCTTTTCTTTTATTCTTTTTAATTAGATTAGAATTATTCTTTTTAAATAAATTAATAAAAGATAATAAATTCTTATAATTAGATTTTTTATTAAGTAAAGCCAAGAATTATTAAAAAATATTATTTAATTTTTTAAATAAATATTTATTCAGTCTCCCTCCAGCATCAGAAATTATGATAATAATAAGGAATTATAAAGTAAGAAGTATTAATAGCTTCTGTAATAAGATAAATAAGTTAATAAAAATATAAAAATATTATCTGAAAATTTAAATTTAAGTAATAATAGATAGCAATAAAGTAAGAAATCTTAAATAAAATAATATTTACTTAGAGATATAGTCTTAATCTTTATTTACTATTATCTTACTTTATAACTTTATTTTTTTAATAAATTAATATTTTTTTAATATTTCTAACTCTTCGCTGCCAACTTTTTTATTTTTAATAATATTTTTTTTTTCTTATCAGGAAAAGCTTTAAATAATTAATATAATATTAATCTAATATTAGATTAGTCTTTATTTCTAATAAAATAACTGAGCATTTATATCTTGAAATTTTATTAATTCTGAAAGATCTTAATTAATAAATATTTAGCTTCTTTTCTTTATTCTTTTTAACTATTATATATTATATTAATACTAAATTCCTTATTCAGTATTCTATAGTACTTTTCTAATTATTTTAATATAGATTTTATTCTAATACTACTGATTTATAAATTTTATTTAAAAATATTATTCTTAATACAGCTTCTAGTATAATTATAGACTGCTAAAAATTATGCTAATACTATTTAACAAGATATTAAATAATTTAGTTTTTAAAAGATAATAATCTTAATTTTAGCTAGAAGCTTAATAATACTTCTACTAGTATAAAGCTGCTTGGCTGTATAACTCTTATATTAATAATATAAATTATAATTACTAAATATTTATTCCAAGTATTAATAAAACTTTTAAAGGTTATTATCTATAATCTTTTAATAATTAAATTAATTATTTATTTAACTAGTCTTATTAACTATAGAATTATTATTAATACTAATATATATTTAATCTGTTACTACTGAATTTGAGATCAGAATTTCTTTTTTATAAAGTATAAATTATTATCTGTATAAATTATTAAAAGTTAATTAAAATAAACTATAACTTATTAGTATATAAAATCATAATTTTATTTTATTATAGCTTTTGGAACTGTCTCTGTAATTATAAATTAATTAAAATAATTAATTCTAATAATAATATAACTGTTTTTCTGACGCGTAAGCAGGAAGAATAATTTAATATAATTTAATTTTTAAAGTATTATCAGTTCTAGCATATTTATCTTAATTAGTAGTGATAGTAATAACTTCAGTTCTATTATTTAATAAGTATAATATAATTAATAATATTTTTTAATATTTTTATATCAGCTAGACTAGTATATTTTATTAATTATTTTTTTTAATATAATCCTGATCAAGAAATAGCTATATATATTATATAATATTCCTAGTAATCTGTTTACCTTGTCTGGTATAATATATTATAATTATTATTTATTTTATTTTTAATAACAAAGTTAGTCATTGTAAAAAATAAACTATTTAATAAAATTCTTATTTTTTATAAAACTAAGCAACTACTCTATTATAGCTAAATATTATGAATATTATTAATATTTTTTAATTACTAAATTTCTATTTATTTACAGTTATTATGGCCCATTAAGAGTAAATAATAGAAATATAAACTTAGTTTTTTAGCTTATCTCTGTTTTTATTATCTAATATAATAATTTTAAAAATCTATCTACTATTATCTATATTTAGCTAGAAATATAAATTATCTTTAAATTATATTCTTATAAACAGTATTACTATCTAATTATTTAATTATTTATATTATTTAAATCTTTTAATATACTCTTTAACACAGTATAATCCATGTATAATATTATCAGGAATCTTAAATTTTTTACTAACTAATAACTCTTTTCTAAATATTTTAATATTATTAAGATTTCCTTCTTTATTATATAATACCAGATTTCTATAGTTATCAAGATAAATAATATAAATATTATTAGTTTCTTATTTTTTAATATTCTCTGGCTTATTCTTGTTTTCTTAAAAACTTTATAAATCTGAAATAATATTTTTTCTAGATCTTAGTTTAAGATATCTATTACTAGATAATATTAGATTATTAGATTTCTTTTACTAAGAATAATATATACTAGATATTTTTTAATTCTATTAAATATTATTTATTATTCAGAGCTTTAATTAAATATAATTAATTATCTTATTAATTTCTTTTTTTTATAAACTAATATCTTTTTTATTACTTTTATCAAATCTGTTTTTTCTAGAATATAAATTTAAAAAAACAGAAGATTATTTAAGAATCTTAATAAAGATTTTTTATTAGTCAGAACTAGTTAGATTTTAATTATAACTATTTTATCTGCAAATAGATAAATTTTATTATTAATATACTAATAATCTAAAATAATAACTTATTTTATAAAGAATATTATCTTTTTCAGATTAAGAATTAATCTAGCTTATATTAATCAAGAAAAATACTAGCAGTATAAGAAATTAAGAAAATTCTTAATTAATATTATTCCTCCAGTATTATTATTTATAAAGTAATTAAATTTTATCTTTAGATCTAATTCAGAAATTAGTAGTTTATTACTAGACTCTAGAATAATTTCTATTATAATATTTTTTAATTTTATATAAATTATTAGAATACCAGTTAATCTCTGATCTATTTTTAAATAATAATATTATTTATATATAATACTAAAAACTGTTTTATATATATGTTCCTCTGCTAGTAGTATAGTTTAATATTTATTAATTATATTTACTTTAAAAAAAATCTTTAATTCAATTCTAGTTATTTTTATTAATATTAGTTTAATATATTTCATAGAATAATTTAATTTTATTATTATTATATTTAAAAAAATAAACTAGTGTACCATTCTTAGCCTGGTATTATTTAATTTTAGAGAAAACTTTATTTTAACTGATTATAGTAATATATAATCTCTTATTATATAAATCTTTATTATAGATAGAAAATTAATTTATTATTATTTAATTTTCTTCTAGCTGTATAGAACTAACTTTAATATTTTTAATTAAATTTATAGATATATAAAGATTTAATATATTATTAATTTTATAATAGATATGTTTCTAATATTTATAATAAATAGATCTCTCTATATATAAAATATTAGTAAGATTATTTTCTATTAGTATAATTCTTGGGCTTGAACTATATCTCTAATTAATAATTAATTTTTTTATATTTATTATTTTATTATATTTAGATTGTCTAGGCACAAAGACCTTTAAAACTTAGAAAATTTTTTTATTATTAGATATTCTATCTTTTCTTTAATCTCTTTTTTAATAATTTTATAAACTTAATATAGTCTTTCTAGATTAAACTTTCCAGTTAGTAGCTCCAGATTATTATTAACTAAACTTAAT